GAGGACACAGGTACCTACAGGAAGACAAAACACGTCGATTTGTTTCCCATTGTGATCTGAGTTTCACGCCTTAGGGTGCAAAATGGGTTGAGAAATATTGATCAAGGTATGCCCACTGGTTCACTAGTGGTATGAATGTTATGGGAGTAATCAACCACTTTCTGGTGGGAGTTAAGGTCTGATCCTCAAGACAGAGACCATGCCTGGATCAAGAACCTATGGCTTGGGTAGAACCTGTGGCTTGGGCCCTAGTAGGGGACAGCCTACTGCTATTATTCTGTTAAATAGATAGAGTATTAAACTGCCCTGCAGTACCTATCTTCATGCCCACAGGTTAGTGCATGTCTTCATCCTCATCAAAGAAGCTTCTCTTTGTAGTAGATGTTGATTAATACAGAGACCCAAGCTAGCCAATGAGCAGGAATATGAGACTATGGCATGCTCAGCCGTAAACAGGAGGACATCAGTATCACATCCCCTCCTCTCAAGGCTCATGGATCATCATGGAAGAGCAGGTAGAGTTTGTGGAGCCGGAGGTAGTGGATGACTTGAGTGAAAGTGTTTCCCTGACACCATGGAGTCATCGCACACGTGAATTCACCACAGTCGTAACTGACAAAAATCAAGCCAGACAAAATCCCGGCATGGATGGTACAGGGGGCGGTTTGTGAAGTCTCACCCCTATCAGAGAAGATATTACAATTGATGGCTAATAGGAGAGAGAGAGAGAGTTATTTTTCTCCCTCTTCTGAGAGGCCACCCATATTCCAGTAGATGGCCCTATGTCCATGCACACACTGACATCACTAAGCACACTCAGTGGGTTTTTTTTTAAGCACACGAAATTGGGAGGTAAAAGTAATGAGGTGGAGGGTAGAGGAGGAATTAGAGAGAAGGAGAGGGTTGGCCAAAACACATTCTATGCCTATATGAAATTCTCAAGCAATAATAAACAAATACAAACTTTCAAAGAGCACACACAAAAGCAACCCCCAAACCCTGAAAGTTTACCCAAGTAACTTTAGGGGTTCAGATGTTGCCAAAGACATCTATTAGGCAGTACTTGACAAGATGAATCAAGAAGATGAACAGATACAGAAAAACAAATACGCACCAAATAGGAACACTAGAAAAGAAATCAGGTTGGGAGAAAACACACAATGATCCAATCCAGTGGCTTCACCAGCTGATCCCCTCAACAAGGAAAGAGAAATAGTCTCGGCACTTGACCGATTGACAGCTCAGCTGTAAAGCTGGGCAGTTGAGGAGAAATCACGCAGAAGAAGGTTTGTCTGTTGTCGTTTGAGAGGGGGCCTCACTCCAAGGCCCACGGTGGCCTGGAACTTTCTATGTAGCCCAGGATCGCCCTGAATTTGAAGCGGCCCTCCTGCTCTCAGTGCACTGTGGGCATTGAAGGCATGTGCTACCTCGGCTAGCTGCTTTGCTCTTTGGGGAAAGACTGTGAAGAGCATCTAATTAGCAGATGCAGAAACTTGGGAACTTTGCACTCACGAAGCTGCTGTTAGGGCACCGGCACCCGGGGTCCCAGTGAGTACCGAGGGTGGTGGCAGTTGTTTTGTTTTCTCTGTGTGAAGAAAGTCAAGTCTTCACTCATCTAGATGCTCCCAGGGAGATGTAATGTGGACCTTTTGTTCTTGTTTTTTACTTGCTGCGCTGAAACCCATGCATGTCTCCTCTAGGACCCCACGACATCGGGTAGTTACCACTCTAGGAATTGACTTTGCCAGAAGCATTTTAGTCTCAAACAGAAAACAAAAATAGATGCACTTCAGAACGATCCAAGTGTTGTGCTTCTGATGTTTTTTTCATCCTCCCAACTGCAGTAAAAGAAATTCCTGCTATTTGAAATAATCACCAACTCTCCTGAGAAGCATTAACAATTAAGCAGCTCTCTTGTGTGGCCCTGCCTGCCTGGCTAACCTGTAAGAGGCACGTTGAACCGGAGGCGGTAACAGGAGCATGCTCAGCAGGTATGAAGAAGGCTCTTTTTCCTCTAACAGACACCGCAACACAAGCTTGCTTTGATAAACGCCGCCATTTCTCCTCAGCGCGACATTTCTCGAACAGTTCTATTGAAAACTCCTTTTGTGCTAAGGAGATCATGTGGGTCCTGACCCGGACTCTTTTTTCTCACATTTAAAACATTAGCAGGACACAGAAGTAGAAGACATTGCTCCAAAAACATAACCATTCTTGGTCACGGTCAGTCATCTTCAGTGTACTGTGTTCCTGAGAATGTGGGGGAAGGATCCCACTGTAACTGGATAACCCTGAAGCCAGGAGCACAAAGGCACTGCCTGCTCCCAGGCAGCTGCCTGGACAGGTAGCCTGGGAGCAGTGGGAGGTCAATGAAGAAGACATGTCAAGATGCATGCAGGCAGAAAGGCTTCTTCTGTCTTTAAAAAGGAAAGGAAAACTGTTATTCTATGTCCACATTCATAAAACAATTATGCATCTACAATCAGTGATGGGCTTTTTGCACCAGTATCAGATGGGCACATGAAAGATTAAATGCAGAGTCGTTGTATTTTCCTTGGGAGTAGTCAGGTACCAGGGAAGATTTGAGCAGCCTAACACAATATATAAAATTCAAATCAACTTGTTAGCTTGTTTTGTCCAATCAAATTAAAATACATATAAAACAAAATCCACCCCCCCCCCCCCAGCTTTAATTATCCTTCCTTCTGTCTTTTTCAGGTCTGGAGATCGAACCCAGGGCTTTGCACACACAGGCAAATGTCCTGCCTCTGAGCTGTGTTTCCAGCAGGCTTTTTATTTTATTTTATTTTATTTAGTCTCACTAAGGTACCTGATAAGTCTCTAACTCAATCTGCAGTGCAGTTGTGATGCTGCTCATGCCTGAGCCTCTTGAGCACCTGGGACCACAGGCCTGTATTGTGGTGATATTGTGTTCCGCAAAAATATTGTGCACCCTAATAAACTTATCTGGGGTCAGAGAACAGAACTGCCACTAGATATAGAGGCCAGAAAACGGTGGCACACACACCTTTAATCCTAGCATTCCAGAGGCAGAGATCCATCTGCATCTCTGTGAGTTCAAAGCCACACTGGAAACAGTCAGGTGTGGTAACAAGAGCCTTTAATCCCAGGAAGTGATGGCAGAAAGCAGAAAGGTATTTAAGGCATGAGGACCAGGAACTAGCCTGGTTAAGCTTTTAGGCTTTTGAGCAGCACAGTTCAGCTGAGAGGCATCCAGTCTGAGGAAACAGAATCAGCTGAGGAATTGGCAAGGTGAGGTAGCTGTGGCTTGTTCTGCTTCTCTGATCTTTCAGCGTTCACTCCAATACCTGGCTCCAGGTTTGTTTTATTAATAAGACCTTCTAACAATTCGTGCTACACTGTACCACCAGGCCTGGCTCCATCATGCAGAGCCTTCTTAAAGTGCACTTCTTAAAGTAATAGCAAGTATATCCACATCACTATGCAACAAATCTCTATAACGTGTCTTCTCCTCCTTCTCTTTCTTCTAATTCTTTGTCTTCCTCCTCCCTCCCTACCTCTCTCTTTCTCCACGTGTGTGTATGTGTGTGTGTGTGTGTGTGTGTGTGTGTGTGTGTGTGTGTGTGTGTGTGCTTCTTCACATGCATTCTGAGAATCAAACTCATGCTTGTAAGGTAAGCATTGACTAGGCCATCTCCCTAGCAAAACTAAGCATAATATCCATGCAACAGCCTACTGTTAACAAATTCTTATTTATAACAAGCTTGTGTATTAACTACCGAAATTAATTACACTAAATAAAGACTAAATCTGAGCATGGCGACACTTGTAATCCCATCAATAAGGAAGCTGAGGTAGGGGGATTGCCATGAATTCAAGACCAGACTGGACAAGATAACAAGACCCCAACTCAAAATAAACAAACAAACAAAAACAGAACACAAAAGAACAAACAAAATTTAATCATAGAATCATGGCCTTTGCTAGTCTTTATTCATATTTATTAATGCCCACATACATCATGACAAATTAGAGGTCAGAGGAGCCAATTCTCTCCTTCTACAGTATGGATCTCAGAGATTAAACTCGGGTCCTCAAGCTTGGTGACAGGTGCCTTTGAACCACTGAACCATCTTTAAAGACGAGGTCTTGCTATTCTTTAAGGAAAGCTTCTAATTTGGGAGCATTTTGCCGACCAACTAAACAATCCATTTGGACAGCAAGTAAGGAACTCGGAACAGAATGAAGCTGGGAAGTTAGCACCTAAAACACACATGCTAAGGTCCAGTAGATCGCAGGCACTGAGCCACAGATGTCTCTGGCAGTTCTTCAATAGCCTGTGAAAAGAGAAGCAGAAGAAGTCACAGGAATCCAAAGCTCATCTCCTGAACTCTCTGGAGATCCGGCAGAAGATGAGTTTCGGGCAGGACTGGGAGTGAAGAGTCAAGACAAGAGGTGTGTGAGGGATTAAGACCAAAAGAGCTGGAGAGGAGTGAAAACGGAAGGATCCCATGCAAGAAATTCAAAAGGAAATTTGAGCATCCTTTTAGAGGTCATGGATGCAAGGACTATCTGCAATTTGCTTGCCCCAACCTGGGGGTGAGAGAGTTCAAAGGCTTCACACACTAGGAAATAGTAACTGTGTTAGGAGATAGAAATGATGTGGGGGGCGAGGGGAGGGAGCGGGTATCTGGTAGTGTACGTGTGGGGGGCGCGGTATGCATGTCCATATGAGTGCAGACCAGATGTTGATGCTGGATATTTTCCTCATTCTTTACCTTATTTTTGGAGACAAGAGCTCTTACTAAACCTGGAGCTCACCTATTCAGCCAGACTAGCTGGCCTCTAACTCTGGGAATTTTCCTTCTTCCACTCTCCTGTACTGGGATACAAACACACCACACTACAGTACCTAGATTTTTTATATGGCTACTGCAGATCCGAACTCAGGTCCTGCGTTGTGTAGTAAGCATTTTATCAACTGAGTTACTCCCCACCCTGCCCAGTCCCAAGAAATGCTGACTTGATCATTGTGTGATGCATATGTATATCAGGTTGTCACACTGTACCTGACAAAAAAAAATGCACAGTTTCTGTGTATCCAGTAAAGGGGGAAAAATTACATCAAAACCGCTGACATAGATTTCAGAGTGTCTAGTGGAGAGTGAGGTCAAAGTCAGGTCATAGCAATTGGTGTGTGAATAAAGGAAACTTCCTCAGTCACTACTAAGCGGGCCTGGATACAAGAATTCACCTTCAAATCGATTGATTTCTAAGCCAAACACCTAAGATTGGTACCCCAGTGGATCAGTCACATTTCCATCACTTTCCTCCTGCACTACACACTGCATTCTATAGGGTTCCAGGATTGTCTTCTAAGGAGGAAAATCCTTCGGATGCTGGCAGAAGAATCTACTAGAACAAAAATGAGTGGAAATGTCTGCTTAATGTTAGGCATAAACAGAGATGAAAATCAGTCTCTTAGAATACACGGCATGGGGAGGGGGTCTCAAGAAAGAAGAAAATAGTCAAAGGCAATGCTCCTAGCAGCACCTTGCAGCTTGACTTGGAAGGAATCTTCTCAGCATTTCCTGAATCAGGAGTTTTCAAGCAGACGCCACAGTGCTTTGACATAACTATCCCCCAGGTCAGCAGAGGATGAGTACTGCTCATGGACCTTCTAGGACTGTTGCTGGTGGAATTGGATGGTAACAGCCCATAAACTGGAGAGATCACTGGGATTTGCCTGGAAGACAAGTTCCAAAGTCACCAAAGGAATCATTCAAATACTCCAAGCTTCTGGTTTTCTATCTGGAGTATGACTGTGGTAATGCTCTCATAAATAATCATGGGAGGGAAGGGGAACCAAATCAGAAGCAGGAAAGTGCTAAACAGATTTACTAATGGAGCACGCATATCCAGCAACAGGGCATATGAATCCCAGTTAGACTAGACCCTTTTAGCTGCAAAGATACCAGATGCACGATAAAATGCAACATCTAGAAAGAGCTAAACTTGAAGCCAAATTAAGGCTCATAAGGGCTGCAAACGAAGGGAATTGAAGCTAGAAGAGTGAGGAGAAGCAGCCCCTGGCTTTTCTTAGCATTTCCAGAGCACCTAGCTGCAGTAAGAGAGGATGCTGGCTCCTGTGGAGACATGTAGTGTTCTTACCTAGAGTGAAAGAAGAGAGGGTGAAGTCTTGGGCATAGAACTCATGTGGCATTGAAAGGAGCTGATGGCTGGGAGGTGCGGCTTAGTGGTGCTTGTCGTGCCTGCTTGAAGTGGTGGAGTCATTCCCCAGCACAGCATAAGGAGGAGGAGGAGGATGGCGAAGAAGACAACAATGATGATGATAATGATACAGTGATGATGATGACAACTATTCATTGCTAGGGCCGTGATGAAAAGATGGTACAGACATAGCATGAAAAGATGCTACAGGATAGCATAAATAGCAGAAGTGTATTTACTCAGAGATCTGGAGGCTGAGCAAGGTGGGTTCTCCTCCAGCCTCTCCTTGTCTTGCAGATGGCTACCATTTTGAAGTAGCACCGCTATGATTGATGGTCACATGATCCCCATGCGACATGGATCCTTGATGTGTCCTCCTCATCATAATAGGACCTTGGTCCTATTGGGTAGTGCCCACCTTCACGTCTTCCCCCAAGTACAGTCACTTTACAAAGAAATTGGGAGTTAGTTAGGGCTTCAGCATGTAAGTTTGGGGAACGACCCAGTTCATGGTGTAACAAGGTAGGGGCCAACAAGACCCCTGAGCTAGACCTAGAGCAGCAGTGAGGAAACGGGGAATCACCCTACTTGTCACTGTCCTTACATGAGAGGGGAAACTCTGCAGTCCAAGCTTTGTAGGTACAGATGTTGGAATCTCTCCTTCCTGCACGGTGCAGGAAGCGTGGTTAAGAAACTGACCTGCACCTCGATGGAGGAGACAGCTTTTCACCATGATCACAGTGATCCTGCACAATATATCCCTCAAGAAGCCACCCGTTAGTACTTGTGCCACGCTGTCCACCGCCCCCAACAACCGGCCTTATGCTCAGTTAGGGGTCACTTTTCTCACTTCCAGCCAGTTGGCCTACTCCTGGTTTCTTCTCTGGCGAATAGCAGGTGCCATGTTGGGGGTAGCAGACAGCCACACCATTTCAACAGCACTGGTAGGGTCAGACGCGTTTTAAAGGATACGTGTCACATGCGCAGCTATTAATTCTGTGAAAGCACGTCAGGCACCTGAAGTGAAGGAGACACCCCTGTGAGACTGTCCTGTCTGTATGACAGCTGTTTTTGGAGACGTCATCGAGCCACTGACATCTTAAGTCAGAATGGCTGTAAGGATCCACTTGAGACCGTCCTGAGATGACCAGGCCTATTGACATTCCCTGTGGAAGGAGAGAAGAGGGTCCTGAGGCCTTTAGGAGAGCCTCACATGGCCCCTCCTCTCCTGGAGATTCCAATCCTTCTACGTAAGAAAGAGGCAAACAGCTCACCGGGGTGGGACTTCTTGGTGGCGTCCCTACTCATTTGTCACCCAGGGGATTTCTTGGTGATTGTAGCTGCCTGTGAGTCACCCATATTCCCAGAGATAACTCCCGTAAACACATTAGCTCACCAATGACTTGGATGGAATCCTTTGGTCTGTTGGTGCTCTCTCTACCTGGGGGCAGATGTTTCTTCAGTTCCTCCAGGAAAAGTCACACAGTATCTCCAAGCTGCATCTTTACACTGTCTTCCCTCTGGAAATTCCTCTCTTCGCATAGCATTCATTGTAAGGACACAAGTCAGAGGGACTTACCCTACTGCTGTGTGCTATCAGGGCTTAGCTAATTACAGCTGCAGTGTCCTTTTCCCAAATAAGGTCATAACCTGAGGTACTGCAGGCTTCAGGGAGGGAGGATGACACAATCCAACCTATAATAGATACATACAGTACAAAACATGTTTTCAATTACATGACGTTGTAAATAGAAAGCAATGTTGTGTAGTATTTATGGACTTATAAATGCATAGTAAATGTTCAAAACATGTGTGAGAAGGAAAACAGCTTCAGAATAAAACCTTCCTCCAAAGAGGGAGAACAGGAGGGGGCTGGAAAGGAGAGGCAACCTTATTTTAACATTCAATTATTTTGAAACAGGACAACATTCTGCTAAGTGTTCAGATGTCAGTGTCTATCTTAATCCATGTTCTGTTGCTATTACAAATACTGGTGACCAGTTAGAAGTTCATTAGGCTCATGGTTCTAGAGGCTGGGAAGTAAACCATGGTGCTGCATCTGATGGTGTCCCTCATGCTGCACCTTAACATCATGGAGGCTGTCACACGATGAAACAGAATACACACACTAACTCAGGCCTCTCTTCCCCTCCTAACAAAGCTCCTAAAGCCAACACGGGCTCCACCCTCATGACTGGATCAGTTGTGTAGCTCTTTCCTCCAAATTAAACATTCTTCCCTGGAGGGAAGCCCACAAGACTCAGGAATCTAAGAAAACATACAAGGTTCAGGAAGTTCATGAAAGTTATGAAATTCACATGAAACACAACCCCAGGATATAAAAGCAGTCAATAATTACCTCAGAGTGGAGACTCTCCAGTGGAGCTGCCAGCTAAGCTGGACTTGGTTGGAATTGTTTCTCTAGTCCATCATCAGTGCCTATCAGCAATACATAGGTATTTGTTTGAATCCCTCCAGGAAAAACCATAAACCACATCTAATCCTAAATCACACCCAAAGGCCCCCTTAATAGGTGATTTTGGGGATCAAGGTTATAACACATGAATTTAGGGGAACACAGACAGTAGCTGTGATTATGGCAACTGTCATCTTATTCTCTGATTGTTTCTTTGTATGTCTGAATTATCACAACATTTTGTTTGTTTATCTGAGAATGTAGCAATAGGAAAGAAGTGTTCCTTGCTATGACGATGGTGAGGTGTTTGAACATGCCTCAATGCAAAGCAATATTAAGTTTGTCTTGGTAAAGACATCACGAAGCATCGAGAGGGAGGTGATAGCAAGAAAGGGCTATCAAGGTTGACTTGCAAAGGTTGACTCACAAGCCAGCCAGGACTGCATGGGGATGGATGGATTCCAAATTCACTGGGAGCTAGGTGGTCACAGCTTTCCTTGCAACTTGGAGCAAATGCCAGAAGACAAGGAGGAGGTCAATGGGTTTGCTCTGTTCCATTTCGGAGTAGTTGGGAAGAAACAACCTGGGTCAGGCCTAGATCCAGACCCCACAATACTTACTATTTCATTTAATATTTATATCAATCCGATGGTATTGGACCCACTTCATAGGTGAAGAAACTGAGGCTTAAAAGGACACATAACCAGCCAGGTAGCACAAGCAATACTGTTCCTTTTCAGTTTATTGCAGGATATTAAAAGGAGGAAGAGCTGGTTTCTCAAGAGAGAGTTGCCTAAGAGAGAGAGTGGACCACAAAGCTGAGATCAAACCTCAACTGTTTCATTCCCCGCTTACAGTCTGGGTCGCTGTGCATTATGGGTATCCACCTGACTCCATCCTCAGGCACTGGAGACACATCAATAAGTCTGATAAAGTCTGTGTTAGCTGTACATATGTTTTAGAAGTCTGCTCATCCCTCCATCTTAATAACAACTGTGAGACTAGAGGATTTTGTTTTTTTTTAAACAGAGCATTCCTCCATAAATCACCTCACTTAAAAAAATATTATTTTTATTCTTTACATACATTACATCCCAACCACAGTTTCCTTTACCTCCACTCCTCCCAGTCGGAGGAGTGTGGTGTGTGTGTGTGTGTGTGTGTGTGTGTGTGTGTGTGTGTGTGTGTGTGTTTGGGTAGTTGCAAGACAAGAAGATGTGATCCAGGAGTTGAACCCTTAGGTGGCTCTGCTCCCTGGGAAGGCCAGGATTTCTGAAAGACACCTCTAATCATTTTAGAAGGGACAAAACAATATGGATGACCTTTGAGCTGCAAGGACAAGCAGGAGACTAGTCCTGATGGGCTGTGTGCCAGCAGGGAGACCCTGGTCTGGCTGAGTACACAGCGATTATTATGCTAGCCGGAGGAGGAAAAAAGTCAATTCAAAAACTGCTTGTTCATGTCACGGTAAATCCTTAATGGATTTAATGAAAATTCTTCTTCTTCATGAGATATTTTCTATTTTAAAGAAGAACGGCAAATTAATACAGCATTTCCAATAGCCTTTAAGTCAGGTTTAATTGGGGCAATCCCCTCCAGTGAATCGGAAGATGACATTCATCTTCGCTGCCTGGGTAGAATGTTAAACTAGAGGCAGGGGTGAAATGTCAACGTAAAATAATGCTAATAATTATTCTGAATGTTACATTCTCCTTGACTTTGGAATTTAAAGGGCCAAAATGAAGGCTTTTTTGTCAAAAGTCAAGAAGTCATCTAGAGACGTGGCTGACATTTATGATTAATGTAATCTGGGATTATTAGGAGAGAAATGTAGGCTATGATTAGCTTCTCATATCTCAGTATTTCATTTTTATGTTATTATAGGAACCATATAGTATATGAATATAAAAAAAAATGCTGACATGCCACAGATAATCCTAATCTCCTGGAAATTTCAAAAGGAAACCTCTGGAGAGAAGGCCTTTTTAATTAAAGGGGCAGTGACCAAAGGGCAGTGACCAATTAATTAAATTTGTAGCACTGTAGTGAAAGAAAGAAGAAAACGACCCCATCCAAGGCTAGATCATGGTTTCTTAGGCACAACACACGTGTGCACACAAAAGAAATCAAGCCTCTGTCTGCCGGGGCCTGTCCCTTCAGAGAAGGTGCTGGTTCATTTGTGACAAAGGAGACAAAGCACAGCCTGAGCAGGACCTCCAGGCTACGCCCTGAGCTGGCAACTCGGCTGCCTCAGGAAAGCGAGGCTGTGACTGAGAGCAGAGGCCCTCCGGAGGAGGAGACCTGGCTGGGGGATGCTGGGGAAACGTTAACCCTCATTGAAAAATAAGGCTTTGGGTCCAAGGCTGGAGCTGGGAAGAGTGCAGGGGAGCCTGCTCCTCAGAACTCGGGTCCCGGCTCCAGGCCGCCGCCTTCCCTGGCAAATGCTCTCCTAGATGTTTGCAGCATCATAAGCAGGAATACCAGAGGTGCAATGCCAGAGAGAGACAGGTCAGGACTCACTCCAGGAAAGAAAAAACAAAGCAAAACAAAAGAAACAAACAAACAAACAAAAAAAAAAAACAGAAGGTGGGGAGTGGATGTCTTATAAATAGGTGAAAAGCAAACGGAAGGACTTTGAAGAGAGACAGGGAATGGCCCTGGGTTAAACCTCTGACTGTGAAAAAGAAAATGAAATTCACTCACCAAAGTGGGAAACTTTGGTGTGTGTGTGTGTGTGTGTGTGTGTGTGTGTGTGTGTGTGTGGTGTGTACATATAAACACATACACACATGTATGTATATACATAGTGTGAATATATATAATTCTGATATATGTTAAACATATGGTACAGCGTATCTTCTATTTATAGTAGTATTATTTGTATTTTTCCTCCATCAAGGAGGAAGGAGAGACCGAGAGGGAAGAGAGGAAGAAGAGGTGAGAGGGCTGGAGAAGGGGAGATGAGAGAACAGCGGACGTGGAGAGAAAAGGCAGGGAAAGGAGAAAGCTCCGAGGCCCACAAGTGCGGCTTTCAGTACAGCCTGGTGTACATCGCTGGCATTTCTAGGAATTTCTGATCACCTCTCTAGTAATGAGGAAGCAGATTTTCTAGCTTGAAGTTTCCATCTCAGGTTCCCATCAGCTCAGCTGTCTGGGTGGTGATTCTGTGTACGTCCCCCGTGAAAATCTGTGCTGGCCACGAGAAACGCAGGCTCTCCCATGATCTGAACTGTCTCTGGTAAGCTTCAAGCATTTTATATCGGAGGAAATTAAAAGGGACATCATTTGAGCTTGCTATGGCTCTGGATGCTGAGACAGGAGGATTGCAAGTTTGAGTCCTGACTGGGCTACAGAGTGAAAACCTTTCTAAAAAAAAAAAAAGAAAGAAAGAAAGAAAGAAAGAAAGAAAGAAAGAAAGAAAGAAAGAAAGAAAGAAAGAAAAAAAGAAAAAAAGAAAAAAAGAAAGAAAGAAAACCCACCAAACCAACCAACCATGACAACCACAGTAAAGGAAGACTGTTGGAAAAGGACTCACATAGTACTTCTTAAATTGTGTAACATATGATGTAACATATGTATATTACACTAAGATGCTTGTGAATACAAATGGAAGTGGTATGCTTGGCAATCCCCATCAAAGGTCGAGTCAACTTTGTTCAAAAACCTTCTAAATCGCCGGGCGGTGGTGGCGCACGCCTTTAATCCCAGCACTCTGGAGGCAGAGCCAGGCGGATCTCTGTGAGTTCGAGGCCAGCCTGGGCTACCAAGTGAGTTCCAGGAAAGGCGCAAAGCTACACAGAGAAACCCTGTCTCGAAAAAACCAAAAAAAAAAAAAAAAAAAAAAAAACCTTCTAAATCAAGGTAGCCAACAAAAAAGACCAGGAAAACGTTTAAAGCAGTGGTTCTCAACTTGTGGGTCATGACCCCTTTGGGGATGAACGAAGACCAACACCATAGCAAAATCACAGCAATGCAGTAGCAACAAATCATTTTATGGTTGGAGGTCACCACAACATGAGGAACTGTATTAAAGGGTATCAGTATCAAGAAGGTTGAGAACCACTGCTTTGAGCATCCAACCCTGAGATGTGACAGCCTCTCTAAGTCATTCTAGCCCCTCAGATGCCATCGTTGGAAAGGTGTCCTCTGGCTGGCATCATCAGAACTTGAGCTACAGGGCACAAAGAAAAGATGTAAATGGGAAGATCTCTAACCATCAAAATTCGTCACTGCCACGAGCTGGTTGTGGCCACTAAAACTTCCCCCATAGCTCAATTTGCATTTCAGCATTCTTGGTAGCCCTGGAATGTGGTGATGCAGTAGCCACTATGCTCCCTCCCTTGAAGTCTGATGGGAGAATCAAAGAAGCCAGACAGCAGTGGAAACAGTTCTGACAGCACTTGTCCATCCACAGAGGTCGTAGAGACACGTGATGAAGGGACAAGCCCAGAATCTGACGTAGGAAATGCCTTGGAGGGTACAGGGAGTAGAAAAAGCCCTGAATGAATGTGTAAGGCATGGAGAAAGTCCTAGATGAATTCATATTGTTGACATGGAAACAGCCATGAGTATCTCAGACCCATGGGAACTGGCAAAGGCTTCCTCTGGAGTAGTGTTCAAAAACTAGCAACGGCTGCTTCTTCCTCACTGGTGACTGCAAGACAGTCCCCCAGAGACCTCCCCCCAAGACTAGCTAATTTCTTTCCTTCTGTGCCGTATGTAATAAACATGCTGAGCTAATGCTTGGTGTGCAGTAGGTGGCTACCCCATCAGTGCTCACTCTTGATCCCCAGCTTTTCTGTACACGTGTCTGTCTGTCTGTCTGCCCTTTCTTCATTCCCTCATCTCCCCAGCCAGGTTTCTAGGACAATGTCATACTGGATGCAGCGGGAGGGGGCAGCTCTGGGCTGAAGTTGTCAAAAAAGGGTCGTGTGTTTGTTACTGTTCTCATTGATGTGAACAAACACCTGGCAGGAAGCTTAAGGGAGGAGGGGATGGATTTGGCTTACAGTTTAAGGGGACACAGACCATCCTGGTAGAGAAGGCGTGGTGACCGGAACCGAAGGTCACACTGAATCTGCAAACAGGAAACAGGGAGATGAATGTGGTGTTCAGATCACTTTCTTGTGTTTATCTTCAGTTCAAGATCCGAGCCCATGGAACAGTGCTGTCCATATCCAGGGTGGCTCTCCCTCCTTCAGTTAGATGTTTCTGGAAACAAACAATTTGAGAAGTACTTGCATGAGTCCCCTTTGCAAGTAGTTCCCCTGGCTACTGTTATTGTCGTTGGTCGGTTGGTTTGGTGTTCTTCTATTTTTATTTTTTGCACATCCCCCCACCCCTGTTTGGTTTGTTTTCATTTCTGAGGCACAAGGTCTCACTATATAGCCCAACCTAGGAAAACCCAGAAATGTGTTTCCATGGCATTCTAAATCCCATCAAGCTGAGGATCAAGATTAGCATGACAGCCAGGAATTAGACAGGAAAGAAGGAAGAGTGAATAGAAGAGTGTGGAGAGTGGAGAGGGGGGCACGTGAGTGGGAGTTTGCCTTACTTCCCGGGGAAACACTCCACAAGGGCACAGCAGCCCACAGCTCAATAGATGAAATGAGCAGCATAAGTGACAGAACCCGGATGCCACACTTAACCTCTCTTTTTCCTTCTGCCGTGCTATGCTATGAAGTTCATGACACCCTGAGCTTCATACATAACAGCTTGGTCCCCAAGGTAGTGCTACTCGGGGATGATGATACCTTCAGGAGGTGTGGCCTAGTGAGACGTCCTCAGGTCACCTGGGTGAGCCCTGGGCTACATAAGACATTGTCTCAAAAAGTGTGTGTGTGTGTGTGTGTGTGTGTGTGTGTGTGTGTGTAAGTTGAATACATACAGTGTGGGGTCTAGATCTACACCCTAACCCCACCTGTCCCAAAGTATCCACATGCCTTGGAAAAAGAAAGGACTCATGGGAAGTGGAATTCATGAATAAGGCCAGTTCCTCTTCTGTGAGCCCTTCTTTGGAAAGAGACAGACATGTCCAGCTTGGAAAAAAAGAAAAAGGAAAAGGAGTTACGAAGGCTATTTGTGGGTGAGGCAAGGTATCCCTCAGCAACAAGAGAAAGCAGCCAGGGTTCTGCAGATAACTTTGAGAGCTTCAAAGTCTCAACAGGGACATGAAAAGAGATGACTGGGGGGGGGGGCAGAGAGGAAGTGAGGAGCTGCCTCCATTTGAAGTCCCCGCTCTCTGTAGGCGAAGTGTGGAGACTGAAGACAGGACACTTGTAAAAGTAAGCTCATTTATGACTTCAGATAAGAGCATCATCAATTGCAAGATTATAAATCTCTGTGGCTTAGAGGGCCACCAGTCACAAGCTTTTAGATTTGTGGGAAACACTGAAAAATTCAAAGTGAAAAACCACAGGCTTGTTTTTAAAACATCACTGCTGGGGACAATGGAAAAAGTCAGAGCTTTGTCCCAGTGCAGATGAGAGGCTCCGCCCCCTTCCAACTCCATGAACAGAAGCCATCACATTGCTTGTAATTAATAATTACAGCTTGGTCACTAATCACTAGGTTAAAAGATATTCTCCTCCTAGTGCCTTAAAAAGCCCATTTCTATAATTTTTAAATATGAAAAGCAATGCTATAATATTAACATCCACAGATATCACCAAACATTAACCCAATAAGTAAATGTAGAAACACCAATTGGAGATACTCTGTTTTTAATTAAAAATTCCATCCTCCAAAACTGATAAACCAGTTTAATCATCATATTTGGCCCTGGAACAGTCTCAACTGTTTCCAAACATCAAACCAAACCTTCAGGGAAAAGATTTGTCAATTTTATAATTTTAAAGAATCTGAGACAAATTATGACAACATGTTTTTTTAAATCAAAACTTGTCTGAGCAACAGAAACATTTGAGCAACATTGTTTTAATAAGTTCATTGTCTGAGAAAGTGAGGAAACAGGCTATTGGGACATAATTCTTAGCATTTTTTTTTTAAATCAGACTTACAGGCCGGGGAGGTAGCTCAGAGGGTGCCCTGTACATTCAAGGTCCAGAGTTCAGATCCCCAGAACCAACCTCTAACTACAGTGGTTGACTGTAATCCCAGAACTTGGGAGACAGAGATGGAATCCTTGGAGTAAGTTGGCTAAGCTCTGGGTCCAGTGAGAGACCCTGCGTGTATAAAGTGGGAGGAGGAAGACATCCAGTGTCAACTTCAGTCCTCAACATCCATGTGCACGCCTGTGGATATGCACTTTCACACCAGCTTGTGACCCCATGTATGTAAACACACATACATACACACAACACATGCACAAATCATATACATGTGCAGGAAAAATTAAGACACGCAGTTTTATATTGTTGGGTGTGTTTGTGCTTACTGAGTGATGGAGATGCCAGACAGAGAAAATACTACTTGTTCTATAGTAGAGACACTGCCAAGATTCTAATAGGATATTCTAGAATTTCATTCTTCTTGAACTTATGAGTGAAATAAAACGTCATGAATGCTTATAAGCCACATCATTTTTAGCCATTCTGTTTGGTTTCATGTTCCTAATATAAAGGGAGTGATAATATTCCTTTGGCTCCATTTCTGAACTTTCAGTATTCAAAAAAATGACACCAATTTCAATACATTAATGCATATTAGTATAAGAATTCATTAAACAGTCACAGAGAAAGACAAGAGCCTTTGTTTCTGAAAACACTTTTCCCTAGCTAGTCCACAATGACATCAGCTACATAAGAGAAGGTCATGCTAATAGTCATCATTCACAGGTCATATCCTCCTACAGGCTAATAGTCACTATTCACAGGTCATGTCCTTTGACAAACTAAAAGTTACTGTCCACAGGTCAGATCTTTCTACACTGACCTACAGAATTACAAAAAAAAAATAATAATTTGTAAAAATTAGTAATAAAATATTGGGGATAGATGACAAACATTTGCTGACAAAATTTACAATTTCAGAATCAAATACATTTCATCAGCATTGGCACGATTACTCCATTACACCACACCCTGGTGGCCAGTTGTACCACCTACTACAGCATAAGGGAGAAGGCCAGAACAAACCTGCTACAGCCAGCATTTAAAAAAAAATCAACCAAGAAGCAAAGAGAGTTAGAAAAACCTATTGCTCTATCTACCAAGAAAACATCTCTATGAAAATCTTGGCTTAAGATATCTTCAGTAGCATTATTGCAGGTATTAATTTATATAAAATTCACCCACAGTAAATATAAAACTCAAGGTAGGCAGGGTAGGTCATGCC